CTTGAAGATGGGGGGGGGGAAATGATAACCTCGCAAACTCCCTTAGTATCGTGCCATGCAATATTTAGACGCAAAAGCGCATCCCTTCATCTTGAGGGCGAATCTCTGATCGTTCCCATTTTCAAGAAAGGATCTCGCAACGATTGAAAATTCACCGCGGGATAAGTTTGATCCCGATCGTCACCAAATTGCTAGCTAGTCTCCGTCATACTTCGACGTCTGACTCCTTTAAGAGAGATCAACATCCGCAAACAGCAAGCCGGACTCCGGCCTGGCCAATAAGGTGCTGTCCCGTCCACGTTTCGCTTGTCTCATTGGGTGCATGAGGCTAAGGGCCGATCCCGAAAAGCGGACCGATAATCAACGCACCAGCGAACAACAAAATTAACCGAAATTCAAAGGCCTTGCGTGACAGGTCTCCAGAAGCTCCCACACGGGTGCTTCGTTCACGCTCCCGCGTTGGATTTACGCCCCACTGCCTCGTGGGTCCGACTCTTAAGTCAAAGGCTCCGGTTAGGGTTCCCAAAGAAAACTCCTTCGTCGATTTGGGCAACCACCAATTGTGCAGTACTCATACCACGTCAAGGTGCAGTCTCGTAGTGATGGTTCTCACTCCCAAACCTTAAGAGATGCATCCTGTTTGCGCCATCCATCGGATATCACTGTGTTCAACTAATGAGACCAACCACTCAGAGGCTATCACATTTTTGAAACCAAAATCTTCTTTTCACTTAGCCGCATTTAATATTTGCACACCAGATCAGTCAACATGCTGTCTTAGCTAGAATCCTTGAAACCTTCCATTTAGATGTATGCTGTGTCTCCAAAACACGCACACAAGGCCCTACTTCAATCACCTCTTTGCGTTCTCAAGATCCAACCTCATCCTCACGCTTCATTCTCCGTGTGTCAGGCGATTCGGCATCCGAAACTCGCGGTGTTGCTGGTGTTGGGATTGCGCTGAGTGTCAAGGCCGAGCGTTCACTTCACTTCTCGATTTTCTGATAGCGTCCCTTTCAAACAGTCCCAAAAGCAAGGCATACAAACAGACTGTTTACTAAACCCACAAAAGCAAAAATTATCACTCGTTGTTGGGTGCTGAAAATTCATCCTATTGGGTGCATAAAGCTTAACTTAACTGACTGACTAACTGAAGTAGTATAGAACACTAGTAATCGGGAAGATTGCTTTGGGCAGATGTATACGGTTTTTGCTCTGAGGTTGTGGATAAATCACTAACCACCAAAACGGTTAAGGATTCGCATTCCAGTTCCTATGTAGATACGGTGCTCTCGTTAGAGTTATACTGCAGTCAGTATAATCGAATTCGACGGGATTTGATTTTGGTATAAGTAAGCAGTAACTTTTCGTGAGCTGCTCAATTTGTCCATCCACTATTACGTCAGTCAGTGCTCCAAAAGTGCTGGCGTCATTCATTTGCCCTCAGAGCGGGCACTAACAGGAGTTCCCTACCATCCCACAATCGATCGTGTCACAGACTTGGTAAATCGGTATTATTTCTAAAATTTCAACACAGAAAAATAAATAAAATGGTAAAGCGAAGTGATATTTTCAATACGCGACAATGTGCACAATATTTATCAGTATTACTTGTCCTAAAATCCGATTTCTCTGTGATGGTGGCGCAGTGGTTTAGTTGCTGTCACCGGCGTGCTTTGGACCTTGTGTTGATACGCGATTCGTATGTGCGGTACTTCGCTGGTCTTTGGTCGAATATACGCACTCCGAGGTCAATATCAATATCAGAAGATAGTCAGAACGTCTCGGATCCTTGTCTTTGGTGGTCCTGTAATGATAAAACAATGCGTTAACATACGGTATGGTAAACAAGGAGGTCGAAATTGAAAGGAAACGTATACTCGAAGTAATTTGACCAGCACCAGTCCAACAAGCAGCACCAGTGTGTGGTGGTCAGAGCAAAGAGTAAGCAAACCAAGATGTCCGGCCGCCAAGACAGACAGATTACAGTCAACCAATGGGAAAGCAGGACACAGGGAAGACTGTCCGAATAGAGTTTGACTACTGACAACGGTCAATAGTAGCAATGAAACAATTAAACAAACAGAATGTCACACCCTGTGGTCTGAGGTTCGAGCCGCGCCACCGCCACCCGACTTTGGTGCTAGACAGCTCTGCTGTCGTCCGGTTCAGTACCACGCCTAATCTATCGGGGTCACTTCAAGCCCCGTGGCTTAGGTTGCCGGTTTCCACCACTGAACAGCAGGTCCTTGTAACTATGGAGTTCGCCCCGTCTGCTGCTCACCACACGTAGATGTGTAATAAAAAGAATCCAAAACCGTGTGGATCAATTGCAATGTCTTCAGTATTTACCATAATAAATGACCTGCAAGTGAGATTAACCTTGAAGGTTTCTTTATTCACCTCCTTTTCTAAGCATAAATCACATTGTAATCGAACTCAATCGGTGGTTAGTGTTTTTCTTCAACATCAAATTTCTCAACGGTCCCTGAGAGTTAGCAGCGAGTCAATGTAGCTCAGGCACTTGTTCCGTCGAAAGCAATGAAAACTCCTGTGAGAAAAGGACAGTGCATCCTCCTGCAAAATAGTTATTTTTCCTCAAGTAAATTTGGTACCAGCAGTTGTTAAGGCAATTTTCTGTGTGGTTTTCTTTTATAAATTTAACACTAAAGATTTTCTGCTAATAGTTCTTCCGTGTGGTTATAGGGAAGGATCTCTAACGTTAATTATCCCGCTTCTCATCCCTTTTTGTGCACTCTCTCAGCCAATCACGAACGCGTAATGTGTGTTAGTGTCTGGTAGATCCATTGATCTCCGTACGCGATCCGTTTTCGCTCTTGGACAAAACAATGAGTGAACCGGACGTGGAAATCGCGTTTCGTGAGGGTTTAACGTGTGTGTCCCAACTATCATCCGTCAACCCAGGCCCTAGTTCATGCTCAAAAGTCCTCATTCAGGTGATCATCCCAGATCATCATTGGAAGGTAAGCTTTTTCTTCCCGCGATTTTTAACAAGTGTCGTAACATATTTTACACTGACAAAATGGTTTCCTCTTTGTTTCCAGTGCTCTGCTATTGGAATCAGAAAGTCTGTTAGGATTGATTTGTCTCATAAAACCGAAACAGGAAAAATGACACGACCTCTTCCATTTTTATGCATCGGTTTTTCATAACACCTTTATGTGATAATTAAAGAGCCAAAAGCAGAAACGCCGTGGTCATGAGAACCTTTTGTTTATGGGAACCGGTTGTCTAGGCCATGGAACTCAGACTAGCGAACCATATGAGCCCCCTCCATGGATTAGATGTGGTATCAGATGAACAACAATGAAGTTGTGTCCGACACCCGATGATCCAACGGCGTGGTTTATCATCGCGTCACTTCGAAGGTCATTTTTTTTTTAACCCAATTACTATTACCAGCTAAATTTGTTCTTGTGTTCGTATTACATCAGTTCAGTTCAGTTTCAGTTTTTATAGCCATTAACCATGCACTTTCCTGCGCCTTTTTTGGTTGCTCCATTTTGGCCGCCCATTTGGATAAAAGAGCAGAATCGAAATTGGAATGTTGAGAGCAAATTCAAGCGGAAGATAGAGAATTAATATAAATTCAGGGTGCAGGGATAATGAGTGCATACGTGAGTTCGACTGTTTGCGACACCCAGACATACCAGGCACCTAGACACTCGTCACATACTACTGACGAAGCATAAGAATAGGAGCACACTTCAATCTGATCCCAGATCGAATGAATTGGCAAACCAGTGGTTCGAATGAGAAAAATGAGCTTATTTTGCGCTTGTGTGCATGTCTCGCATTGTAGTGGTGTGGTTCGTTCACTATGCGAAAAATGTGTTTGGATTGAGTGATCAGTGTAATCGCGACTACGTATGTGACTTGGCTTGGCTAAGTGGTAAGGGTTAAGGGCGTCCGAGTCGATGTAGATAGATCGAAAGGGAGAGAAGAGAGTAGGACAGAAGTGAGCCGTGCTCGGGTCTAGAGGGATGCTTATTTTCGTACTCTTAGCCCCGCGAATACGGAGGCTAGCCAAACAATGGATTTGGACCTATTGGTCCAACGATTCTTACCATGCACTAATATACAGGGCAGAGAACCGTTAAGGTTAACCCGAACACGAAGCACATCCATACCCAGGCAAAAACACTAACTGAACACTAGCATACTCATTTGAAACACAAGTAGCGAATCGGACACAACCGATAGGAAATAAACATGCACACGGTGACCACAATCTGGGGATCCCCAGCCAGGGAACTTAACAGGACCTACGTGACCCAGTCTCCTGGTTAGGTTTTTCATACCCTCGTGCCAGGTCTTAACTTGACCACCCTTGGCTTTTTTCCACTCGGTATCTGTTTCGGCGAACATCGCTCGCCGTGGTAACCTATCTGGTGACATGCGCAACACATGCCCCAACCAATGTAATCTATGGAAGTCGACTGCTTGCTCCATTGG